CTGCCCGTTCGTTCGGCTGATCGTGGAATCTCTTGCGTTAAAGTTGCCGACGATGGCGAAGCCGGTTGGGCCCGGCGTCCACCCCTCCGCCACCCCATGCTTCTGCACCGTCCAACTCCAAGACCGCCCTTCCTCCTACTGCTCGGTCCCTCTCCCTCTCGCCGTCGATCCCACCTCGAGCACCAACTTAATAGATGCACCAACCTCCTCCTCATCCTCCTCTCCGGTCATCATTAGTGTCGAACCAGCCGCGTGGCAGCGGTCATCGGGCAAGCGGGCAAGCTTGGAAGTGTCCGTGTACGTGGGCCGGACTGGGAGCACGTGCGGGTTTAGCTCCGGCCGGTTGCTCGGCCGAGTCAGGGTGGCGGTGGACCTCGAGACGGCGGCCACGCGGGCCGCGGTCGTGCAGAGCGGGTGGGTCAGCATGGGAAGCCAGACGTCGGCGGCGCGGCTCCACCTGGTGGTGCGGACGGAGCCAGATCCGAGGTTCGTGTTCCAGTTCGGAGGCGAGCCGGAGTGCAGCCCGGTGGTGTACCAGATCCAAGGAAAGTGTGCCAGCGGCCAGAGTGGGTGCGTTCGCCAGCCGGTGTTCAGTTGCCGCTTCACCGCCGACCGCCGGCGGACCACCATATCCCGGTGAGTGCCATGAGCAACATGAATGAATAGCTTGCCTTCCTTTGGTTCGGAGTACATAGCATCCATGGAATTCACGAATGTTTGCACTTGATCTTGTGACACATCAGAGAAATGCAAGAAGCCTTGTATTATGAGCATCTCATCTTATTTTGACATCAATTCATTATGTTTGCAAAGCCTCTGAAACCATCGTTGATAGCACAACAGAAACTAAACTATACCATGAATAATACTATTCACAGCTCACTGCCAACCAAAAGAAGCTTCAAAAGATGCTTATCCTTCGGCGGAGAAAGAGACCACGAGATCAGGTGGGAGCAACGCAAGGGCTGGACTGTGACGATTCACGACCTCTCTGGATCCCCAGTGGCTGCCGCGTCGATCGTTACCCCCTTCGTCCCCTCCCCCGGCTCGGACCGCGTCTCTCGGTCGAACCCCGGCGCATGGCTCATCCTCCATGCCATCGGCCCCTCCACGACCAACTGGAAGCCGTGGGGACGGCTGGAGGCCTGGCGCGAGAGAGGCCCGGCCGACGCCCTGGGCCTCAGGTTCGAGCTGGTGACGGACGCCGGACCCAACAACGGACTCCCCATTGCCGAGTCGTCCCTCAGCGTCCGCAAAGGCGGCGAGTTCTGCATCGACCCAAGCGTCGTCGCGGGGGCCGTCATGCCGGGCTCGTGGCCCTTCGTCGGAGGTTTCGTCATGGCGGCAGCGGTGGAAGGCCAAGGGAAGGCCAGTAAGCCAACAGTTCAAGTTGGGTTGCAACACGTATCGTGCATGGCCGACGTCGCGCTTTTCATAGCGTTGTCAGCGGCCATCGATCTTAGCATGGATGCGTGTCAGTCGTTCTCGCAGAAGCTAAGGAGCGAGCTCTGCCCAGACCAGCAAGAGTATAATAGCCTTTGAGGCTTCCATGAATAAGGAAGCTTTTCCTTCTTGCCAAGTGATGATCGAACGCATGTTTGTGTTCTCTGTACATTTGTTTGCTGTGTTGATTGCTTTACGATTGTCACTGTACAAGGACAAGGAAGACATCGATCTTTTGAGCACCTCCGTTTTGTCCATCCAAAGGAGCGTAATAATAAGAGTGTTTCAACTAAAAAACACATGTCCGACAATGTTCATGCTGATAACATCTATGCTATCGTTTGACAAGACTTCGCCTGCAATGGTGCAGGAGAAATAATATCTACTACATCAGGACACAATTTGCTGGACCAGACCTTATACATCGATCGAAGCATGCCATCTTCATGGGTATTCTTATCTTATGCATCTGGTCAGATTCACATACATAGGTAAGCTTGATGGCATCAGTGAGCTACGGTAGGCCTCGCTCAAGCCTGTTCGAGTGATTTCAAGCAGTGCTCATGTCCTCATGTAACTCTCATCTGATGAATACCGGCCGAGGTTATCTTAAGCAGTCGTTGACCGGACTACTCTCAATCGAACACTCTAGTTTTCTTTGACACCACGCCTACAGGAGATTGACTTTGGAGGGGAGTACGAGAACGTAGGTAGACAAAACCTGCCTCTTATGACACGGCCGATCCTTCTGACCTAACAGCTGCACACTCGGCGACAACTCCGAGGAGACCTGGAAAAGGAAGGGAGAACTTGGAAGTGGGGCGCACGGCAAGAACAACTCTTAAAGCGGAAATAAATATCCTCTAGTGGTCGAAAGAGTCGTGTAAGCAAAGGGTCGACCGGGATCACTTTTTTACGTTTTAAAAATGATATCGTGCGATTGTTTCAAAGCCCGTCTAGCTCAGTTGGTAGAGCGCAAGGCTCTTAACCTTGTGGTCGTGGGTTCGAGCCCCACGGTGGGCGTTATATTTGATTTACTTTTTTATTTTAAATAAAAATTTGGAGTAAAATTTTCAAAATAATCTTTTTATTTTTATTTTTTCTCTTTTCTTTTTTCTCATTAGGGCTTTTTTTTTTCATTTATTTATGTAGAGTTCTTCTTATTTCTTGAAAGATCAAATTATATTAACTTCCGCACTTCTACCCTTGTTTTTTTTTTTTTTGTCATTGACCGTTGTTGCCTCTCACTCGTATGCTCTTTTGCATAGTCTCATCCTTATCAACATTCTTGAAAGTCCAAAGTAAATTCTTATGACTATTATCATTGATGTTGATTACGGATGACTCAACGTAGTTCTTATCCTCGAGCTTGCTCTCAACCTTTTTCGTCACCATGTCATTATGCAATGTTGAATTAAATCTATACACAACTAGAGCAAACGTGGTTAGGTATAGGAAAGTAAGTGGGCGGAGGCCGACAATGAGGCAGATGCTAAGGGAATGTAATTTGATCTTAAAAAAAACAAAGGATACTAAAAAAAAGAGACGCTAATCGAGAAAAAAATAAAATAATAATTTTTTAATAATTTATATCTAAAAAGAAAAAAGTTTTAATAATTTTATTTTACCATTTAAATCAAAATATTTATTTAAAATAATATAATATTTAATAAAATTTAGTTATAGTGCCATCTAACCTTGAGAGATCTACCATCACTAGAATACCTCAACAAAAAAAGAGTATAGGTGAGAACTGAAGTCTTACCCTCTAGTGCATCCATGTAAATGCAAAAATAATTATTTGATGTGTATATGTCATCAAGCTGAGTTGCTTTGCTATAAGCTTGAATTCTCATACAAAATGAAACAAATACCGATGGTGATATGAGTTTTCAGCACTAATATAGGAGAGAGAAAATAGTCAAGAGTATAGATTCTATTATCCGAAGGAGTATCTCATGAGGAGAACCTTTTCTCTCTGATAACTCTCACCTCTTCGGACGAGAAGGAAGTAAGATCAGTAAGAATCAGAGGGGAAATGATCAATGATCAATGACCAATCCAAACCCAAAGAGGGCTACGAGGAAGAGGAAGATATCTTAGAGAAAAAAATCAGTTAAGGAGTTTAATAAGGGTCTTAAAGCACAAAAGTAAGTCTAAGCTCAAAGTTCATGAGAAAGTACTAATGGAATAGAATCCCGAAGCCATATGATTCTTAGTGTTTGGTGCCAATCCTTTTATTTGCCATGTGGTTCGACTTAAAGGATGGCGTGATAGCCATGAGAGATAGATAGATCAGCAAAATTGTAATCAAGATGGAGCTCTCTGATTGGCTTCTAAAAAATCAATTATCCATCAATGGTCATGAATCATCAAGAACCAAATCAAAGATATTATAATAAAAGGTAATTCATAGCAATTATGCTCGTAAAGAATTGAGGTGACAACAATGGATCACACGGGTGGATTTGAATTGTCATAGTTCTCGTTACACTAACTAGCTGGAATCTAAAACAGTAAATACAGATGACTCATAGAATAATGAGGCATGTATAACAGGTATGCGATCAAATTCAACTATAAAGCATCGCTCGATAATGATGCAATCAAATCCGATCTAGAAGCGTTCCCTATTTATAATATGGTCGAATCATACCATTAAGCATAGCTCGATGGCAACATAGTCAAAACTAATCATGAAATATCCTTAACTATGATCCAGTCAAATCCTATCAGGAAGCATCACTAGATGATAACATGATTAAATTCCAACGTGAAACTTTTCCTAATAATGATGCTTTCAAATCTAGCCATAAACCATCGTTTAAAGATGACACAATCAAATCAGTCTATAAAATATCCAATAGTAATAAAATGATATAATCCAATCATCAGATGAAGACACAATTCGATTGTGATGCATTTGATAATTAAGATATGATTGAATTTATCCGTAAAGTATCGCTTGATGATGATACAATTAAATTTGACCATAAAATATCTCATAATTATCATGTAACTGAATTTAACGATGACTTATTGTCCAATCATAACACAATCAAATCTAACCAAAGTATTCCCTAAATGCATTATGGTCAAATTATACTAAGAAGTACTTATCACCTTTAACATGATATTTATAAGATCACTCCTAAATCACTTCCAAACACTAGACATATGAGGTGGCCAAAAACTTTGTTGAGACTTGTCTTTTATGTTTAATATAATTTTGTTCACTTTAAAATTAATATATACATCGACTTAAAATGCATGATCAAATATCCATTATTTGATATGAAAACGAGTTGTCGTTTTCGTGTGCCCACATGCCACATCGGATAAATAGAGTTTAAATCTCTACTTAGGTCTCCTTCCGACTAAGAAGGTTAGACATCGCATGGCTGTCCACGTCAGTCATGCGAAGGCAACATGGCTCGCCCAGCCATGCCAGATAACCATAAGCCCTACGGGCCGAGCAACACTGTTATCAGTGGAAGGCCCAATTCGGCCCAGTATCAAACGTGGTAGATAACAACACTACGAGCCCGTGCCGTGCCGTCCCCTCCCTCTCGACTCGAGTACCGATCGCAGCGGCGAAGATGTTTCCGTTTGGGCGAAACCCGCCTCACTCTTCGAATAACGTAATACCCTTCTCTCCTTCATGTCTTCCGCTCCTTCCGACGCTCCTTGATCCTTGTGGACTCTCCTCTCGCTCTTTGTGCAGAAAGAGGAGGAGCCATGGCTCGCCCAGTGTTTGAAGCCGGAGAATTACCTCCCAGGAATGATCATCGGCTTCCTTTTGGGGTTGTTTCTGGATCTCTCGGCCACGCGCAGAGTCAGGGATCCCAGGGGCAAGTCGTCCTCTCGTCCCGGCAAACACCAGTCGATGTCGGCAGCCGCTTCTTCTTCTTCTCCCCGCGGCACCTCCGAAGAGCTCAAAATGGTACAGTTCTTTTCTCTCGCTGAAGTTTTGGAGAAGAGCGTGAAACTGTTGGCTTTGTTGCCCTATTCCTTGGTCCGATTACTTGGTCAGGATACCTTCCAATAATTGTTTCCTTGATTTCTCTCCTAGTTCTTAATTTTCTCGTCTAGAAAAGATGGAGGAGGAATCCCTACTGTTGGTTAGGGTTCATGCTCGGAGGACGAGTCTGGAGAACATTTACCACGGACTTCAATTTCTTAACATAGAGTATTTTCCCGACAGAAAAACGCGATCTTCTGTGAGAAGATCTGGAGTTAATTCTTTTAAAATGCTTTTGGCTTTAACATTACATTTTTAGCTCAAGAGATATGAGACCTCTCTGTCGTACTAGGAAAGTGACTCGTGATGTTCTTTAAGCAGGAACTTATCCACTTGATTTTGATGTCAAGAATGTAGAAAGAGAAAAGATTTGGAGAAGTTTCAGAATCAGGAAACTGCATATTGATACGTGTATATGCTATGCCGGTAGCCATTCATTAAATCAATTTAGGTAGCCGAGACAAGATTGAATGTAATGGTTATAGTGCAGGTTATCATAGGCCTTTGCATTTGATATGGTCAAATTTGATCGCCAATTCGATTTGGCGAAATCGATTCGACCTGATCCCTTTTTTGAGTATATCGTGTCTAAAAGAGAAGAAGTGGTTGAGTATTTGGAACTTGGAGTATGAAATAAAAAAATTCAAAGAGTAAAACGTTGGTATCCTAGATCCTTTGTCTAACTTTAGTTCTAAGGTAGATGATTTGCGTATCCTGCTTATTGCAAAATTTATTATTATGTCATATTTTTTGCAAAGGATAAGTGACAAAGGCGGTATTCGAGCCTAGGACTTTGCAATGATCTGTCAAAGTCTATACCAACTAGGCTAGCTGGCACATTCAAAATATGTCGAATGAGGTTTCGAACCATCAACCTTTGGTAAATTAGTTTGGTACGCCACCATCAGGCTAATGCTTAAGGTATAAAATTTGTAGGATGAGGTTTCAAATCCTCAACCTTTGGTAAGTTAGTTTGGTACATCATCACGAGACCAATGTTTAAGGTGTAGATATGTCGGATGGGCTTTCAAATTCTCAACGTTTGGTAAGTTAGTTATATTTTATCCTTAGGAACTAATGTATATTCAGGGTTGATGAATTATGCGTGGTCTTTTTTTCTTGTTTGTCCCTCTCTATTCAAGTTACAGAGTTTGAAGCAAAGAAGCTTAAGTTTGCTTGTTGCATCTCACGATAAGCACATAACTATTCATCACTTGCAAGAGAGGATGTTCAAAATCATACTTCTCAACACCAGGTTGTTCCTAGGACAGTAATATGTCTAATGATTACCTCATGATGTATTAACGATCTATTCTAGTGGGTGCTTTTATCAAAGTAGTTTATTGATAGATTTATATCTTTTGATGGTTTCATAAAGTGGATATGTCAGTTCACTCTTTTTTGTGAGAGGAAGATTTTACTTCTTATTGCAATTTTCCATCAAAACTTATTCAGATATTTTCTTCTTGCTCTGTTGTATCTTACGCTAGTAGAATTAAATAACAAAGAAATCCTTGTTCATAGTTCTTAAAAGAAACAATGTGTGTGCAGTGAAGCTGAATCTAACCTTGATTCTTTTTAATCTATGTATATCTTTGGTTAGCCCATGCAATTGTTGACGGTAAGCTGTCATAATCTAGCATGTGAGCTGTCATGTGGCCAAGCCTGGATGACAAATGGTACCTTCCATGTGCAGGTTCTAATTGTTCGACAAGACCTGAAGATGGGAGCCGGAAAAATTGCCTCTCAATGTGCCCGTGAGTAGATGGTTTTGTTTTATTATATGAGCACTTAATTTTTTATTAGTTATTTCATCACTTGATGAACTTTTTCAATTTGTTTGGTATTTCATGTGAATGAGAGATTGTACATCTGAAGGCCATCATCAAGGATTAGTAGAGTTTGATTAATGAAACACGAAATGAAATATTTTTATTTCCACTTTTGGCAATCATATAACCTTTTAAGATAAGTTACATCTCAATTGCCACGTTTGTGTAAACTTTTTAATGTTGCTGTAGTCTTGTTTCTAATAATTTATGATTTTCTGACACTTGTCAAGTTTTCCACTTAAATGGAATTGTATGCACAATTTTATTTATAAGGATTTATTGTATCTAAGCATCCATCTTTAATAATTGCAGACCCTGATGAATCAAACATTAATTGGAAACATTTACTGCAGCCTATTTTTTCTCTGGATAGCAACTCTGATATTCAAAACTCAGTTTATCTGGATTGTCACACCTGTACAAGTTTTATTTTCCTTTTGCCCTTATTTCCAACTAATTATGCCATCTTCTGAAATGACAGATGCAGCGACTGGCATGTATGCAGAGTTGCTTCAAAGGTGCCAATGTATTTTTAAACAATTCATCATCTGAATTATCCTTGAAGAATGTTGGTTTTTTCATTACTTTACATACTTTATCAACTTAATTGTCTCCTTAACTCAAATATAATTCTCTTTGCTGTTGGGGCCATTGCTTGTTTGATGGTTCACTCTTCTTCGGGGGCACCAGTGAATTTGATGGTTTAAATCAAACATCTAGACTTTTAACGTGTTTGTAGTGGTTAATTTTATCTCAATGCTTATCTATGAAGGCAAAGTAATCACAGAAAAGCTGAGTAGTAACTTGGCTATATGTGCTTTTAAGTACCCAATAAGACATTTAGCAAGAAATGTGAGGCAGGCTACTTTTTTCTGTCAATGAAAATCTACATATCATGATGAGTGCTAAAGCAGATACTAACTTGGGGCATGTATTTTGGCTTATTTTATAGTCTGTACAGTATGTACTCTTTCATGATGGTATTACTCAAACTGCTTAGATGTATTAAATATGTTCGAACCTGCTAAGAGCTTGCATACTATATGAAAAAGAAAGCTATGCAACAAGTACTTCTCTTGCATTATCATGGGTTGCTATGCTGTATTTATGGGTATTTTGCTTCTATTACCTGCATTGTTGTTATGCTCAATTTGATCACATTTGTTAGCCATTATTGCATGGTCACAAGCATCCTAGAAGAAATCTGAAGGCTCACTAGCTCCTCTTTCTTGCAGCCATCGCTCTCTTTTGAGACAATGGGAGCAATATGGGCAAGCTAAAATAGTTTTATCATGCAAGAATCAGCAAGAGATGTGCGTACAAGTTTGTCTTTGATTCTTCTTTCTATTAAATGTGCATCATCTGTAACCTTTTTAACTGCACCTTTTTAGGAATAAGTTGAAGGAAGCAGCAGACCGTTGTGGCCTTCCAACTTTTGTGGTTGCTGATGCAGGGCGTACACAGGTTCACTTCTGGGTTTTCTCATTCATGCTAGATAATTAAAGATATGACTGGCAAAGTGATGATGATGATAGAACTTGCTTAAACCTCCATTCTGATTGATTCGATATATTGTAAAATTCTTTGACATTTGGTGAAGAGTAGTTACATGGTAGTGTACCTTTTCATCAATCAAGAACCTTAACTTTTCAAAGCTCCTGTTGCTATTGCTGGTCATGCATCCATGGTCTGAACTGTTTTTGAGCCAGCACAAAAGAACTTGTCCAGGACATTGATCAGTCCACAAGGCCAATGGCCACTTTTTCCATGCCGAATACTTGGACACCCATGTCCAACACCCAGTGGAACAGGAGTCTTGATACCCACAAGGTGATGCTTGACTCCCCTTTTACATGAAGCAAGAGTTGAGACTAATTGTTGAGATGGGCCATTTAATTTCCCTGATAATTGCCGAACACATGGGAAGGGTCTTTTTTAAATAATTTTTTAAATAATTTGTATAGGTCATCTATTTTCTATTTCGTAGTTAACATGTTTTGGATATGGTGGCCTATAGATAGTGGATGGTTATCACTTGAACCTCTCATGGGAAGCTTCTACTTCTAATCAATGTGAAGTAGCACCCATTTAACTATAACACCACACATTAATAATCATGATCATGAGAGCATAAATCGATAATGGTTCACATGCAAAAACAACAAAAGCTTCTGAAACTGATTTACACTACATCTGTGTTGTATGATATGCAGTAGAATACCACAGAATAGCTTAATGATCGCTTGACACACACACACATGCACACACATATATATCTATATATAAATACATGTGTGTGTTCAAGATCATTTAGTGTATTGTATTAGTTTGTTGCTATGGCATGTCAATATGTATCCTCATCAAAAAATGATTTTGTAAGTGCAATATCATCCAATTATAATGTAGAATATGAGGTTATAATGTCGTGCAGTAAATAGTTCTGACTTTCCAACTCTACAACCCCCTCTTTTTCCCTGTACTTTTTCTTTTCCCCAATCTTTAGTGAAATATGCGGCATAATCATGTGAACGATTTTTGTAACATAGTTTATCTAGATTTGTTTTTTCTGCATCATCACTGTGTTTAATTTTTAAATGGTCTCTCTTTCACAGGTTCTGGCTGGATCAAGGACAGTTCTTGCCATTGGACCAGGTTCAGTTCTCATTTAACTTTTTAAATTAATATTATGTTTATTTTTGGTCTATACTGTCACACAACATAATAATTTCCATATCCCCTGATTCCCTTCTTCCTGTGGGGGAAAAAATCAGCATCCCTTTTTGTGTATAAATAACACTAAAATATTAGCTTTTTGGAAGTATTACATGCTTATAATTTATCCAAAGAACAACATTTATAAGATGCTTTCTTTAGGGAGGAAGGCAGACATTGATTCTGTAACTGGGAAACTGCATCTGCTGTAACAATGTGGGCCCCCATGATGGTAGGTGCAGCAGGCCACTTGGTTCTCTTTCATCTATGCATATAATTATGAGTATTTCTCGCAAGTTCTTTTATACTGTACATTATACAATTTTTTTCTTTCTCTGCTGATGTCAGATTTTTATAATCATACAAAGATTTTATCCATTCTGTATACTGCTTTTGGTTTCACTGACCCTGTTCTACAATCTGCCACAATGAAAGTTCAGATAAATACAATCAGCTAATGAAATGCAATAATGATTGCAAGAGAAGTTCATGGAGGATCTAGTGCCTAAACGATTTCAAACCTTGCGAAACTCGAGTTGGGAGATGAAAAGCATAAAGAACATGATGGTAGTATAGCACAAATGTTTGAAAAAGCTTCACTGAGTATGAAGTTTGTCCTTAAATTATAAAAATGAGGGCTGATAAATAACCACTAAGTTTCTCAAAATTATTGATTAGAAATTTGATGGTTAATGCAGCCCTTGACATTCTGGTTTTATGTGCCAATTTGTTTTAATATGTATTTGTCTTAGCACATTAACTATCATATCCTAGGGCATGCAACCTAAGTGCAGACAATACACCAGTGAAGCTACCAGTTATCTGAGTTTGAAAAACCTTAATGCATCTGACATAGTTTGATTGTGAATGTTTCACCCATCAGTTTGCATTACAAATGAATAAAATGGAACCTTTGCAAAGGAATTGCCTGACATTTTGCTAAAAGGCTATACAGTTTTGTGTAACTATGATGTAGGCAGATGTTTTAATGCATGATATAGTGTGGCATGAACTGTCGTTTTAGTAATATTATTGTAGAAAAAATCAGCAGGACGTATGTAATTATAAGAACTTTTCCTTGATGCTTTGCATCATAAAGGATTGGATAATACAATTGAATTTGTGACAATTGAATGGCACCTCTTGCACGCTGGTTATGGGGGTTTAGGTACAGTATGCTGTTACATCTTGCATTCAAATAATCAGTTAGCAGTGTTGGCTTTGCCATTCAAACAGCATTGGGTAAAAGGGCAGATACTTGTTGATAAAATTTGAGGTGGCTTTGTACCAAATATGGGAAGCTAATAAAATTGATTCTAGTTTTTACATAAAACATTCTTTGTAGTGTTACTGATCAATCGTCTGCATGGTAATTAGGCCCGAAACCATGTTTGCTGCATTAGCCAGTATTCCATTTACCTAGATGCTTATTTACCATGAAAGTGGTTACTTTTATGTACAGAAATTTTGGCAGATACATCTTAAATGGCAGAAGAAATGTTCCCATGTCTTTGCTGTAAGTTCAGAAATTCTTGGAAAATGCTCTGAGACTGCAAATGGCACTGTAACCAACGACATGGAATTTCCGATCTCATGAAGGCTATGGAGTCAGTTGTGCTGAATTGCTCAACTGCAAGTTCCTCAGTCGAGATAACAACCATCATTCATCATTTACTTATGACAATTAAGGAATTGCAAATTGGCACATCATTTTAATTAAGAATTTCACTTTAGTATGTGACTTTGTGTTATTCACTTTAGACGGTTTTCTTTCCCCAATTGATGTAGCTTTGGTTACTATTTTCGTTTTTAATTTCTATTCCTTGTCATTTTTGTTGGGACATCAGCACTTGCAAGTCATCTGGTTTCATGCATCTGTGTTCTATATTGGAGTGGTATGGGAATCTATCTTTAGGATTTAGGAAGCAGCAATAATCCTCTGCGTTAACCTTTTTTGCAGTAGCAGAACAATGTGGAAGAGCTTTTGGTGGCATATAACTTGACTTGGTAAGAAGGCTTATATTTTTAGATGTAGAGGGTGCAATTGAGGTGGCCACTTGATTTGGTGATTTTTTTTTGTTTCTAGAAAAAAAATGCTTGAAGCATAGATAATTGACATAACTTAGACGCCACACATACACACACATATATATGTATATAGTGATTTTATGATTTTTCTATATGTTTGTATGCATATCCCTGAAAGCCAAAAAAAACCTTATATGAGTATTCATGTAGTTAGTTTTCATGGTTATCATTTGATTGTTATGTTATTAAGAGTAATCTCAGTTGAAGAAACTGTTAATAATCATGATTAAGGAGAATATTTGATAGATGGGTATTAATAATAATTTTTTTATAAAATGATAAGTGATGAAGACGAAAATGATTTATGACCTTATGCGAATCCACAAAAGTTTTTATCAAGTATTTAATAGTTTTAAAAGAAATAAAGTTTGGAAACCATCAATGGTAACTAAGTTTGATATATTATTATTACTTGTTGTAGCCTTTTTAGAGTGACATGCTATATAAATAATAATTCTTTAATGATAAAGATGTTATTTGTGAACATCGCAAGGATAAATAAGAAATTTCAATTTTGTTCCACTCAGGCGCTTGTAATTATTTCCAAACCCGCCGTTCTTTTGGCATGCTCGGTAATTTTCCAAACCGACTCTGGAGTTCGACGGTTTTGCCGTTGTTTGAAACGGCCGCACCCGCGCGCCGTTCTTTCGTTCGATTATTAATGTTTAGGCTCCGGAAGAAGAGGAGGGATCGCCATCGAATAGGAGACCCTGAGCTCCCCGACGGCGCGGAGCACCGAGTCCGCGCGTCTTTCGCCTTTGTGCAGTGACCTCGGCATGCCGATCTTCCCCGACCGCGGCACCGCCTCTCGCTTCGCCAACGCGAGTCAGGCCGCCACCGCCTCCGCCCTCTGGCGAGACACCGGCATCTCGGCTGACCTCCCTGCGCCTCCGGTCTTCACCCTTGATGACCGCATCAGATTCTTCGGCCTCGGCGATCTGCCGTCCCCGCCGTCGGATCGGACAGGATCTCTCTCCCCTTCCGCGGCCTCCTCTTCCTCTTCCTTCGTCCGGAGAACCAGGGCCGAGATGAGTGGTTCTCGCGCGGCCGAGGTTGATGGAGAGGAGAGAGAGACGGGCCGCGGCTCGCCAATAGATGGATTAATCGAGCCAGGGGCGTTGATCACTCCTCCGCCTCCGCGGCCGAGAGAGATTGTGAAGCCGGGCTCGCAAGGATGTAGCATGCGGAACGGAGGGCTTGGTGCGGATGGGTGGGTTACTGTTTATGGGTATAGCCTCACACTCTTTGCTTCTCCTATTCTTTCAGCTCTGCTTCTTGTCTGTTTCTTTTGCTTTCCTATTTCCCACGATTGCTGCTAGGTCCTTTATGCCTTCTCTTAATTTAGTTGTATATAAGGCATCAATAAGATAAGTTTGGTTACCTATAGGCAATCATACATAGTATGTAGATGAAACAACATAGGAAGATGATTGGTTTAATGGGTCTGGTATAAGACAGGATTCCGAAGCATGCATATGAACTAGTTAGCTGTGTGTGACAGATTAACATATCGAGAAACGTGCTAAGCAAGGAAATGAATTGTGTAACGATCTTGCAGCATCTTCTGTTATCAGAATTAGAAAATGTTGTTCGGTTGTCACAAGTAACATATGGGAAATGATGTTGAGCTGGTGCAGCATGAGAAGGAAGACTATGGATTCCAACAGGAAGTATCCTGTTTTTTCTTTGAGGAAGTGTGCAGGAAACTCTGATCCTTTTGAGTTGAGAAAGGCTGCAGTGTGTAAAGTTTGGATGAAAAGGAATAGCAGGTTGTTTAAGAACAAGATTATTAATTATAAATACAGAACACATAAATTAATTAAACAGGCTGTTATGGTGAAGTGTGTTGATCTGTATATACTGTGCAGTTGCATAATTTGCTAAGCGATAAAATTTTTCTTGCCGAAAAAGAAGCTTATTAGCTTGTATAGGGATCTTGAGTGAGATAGGGTGTTGTGCAAGCAAAGTTTTCTGAGGTGTTGGAGGTGGGTTTAAAATCTTCAGTTTAGGTGCTTTTGATGCTCTATTTAGTCTATTGTATTGATTAGATGTATTTAGACCAATGTTGAAAATTTCACATTGTATATAAATCAATCTTAGATGTTCAGTGTTTTCCTTGGATATAACCTCTGAAAATATACCTGTGATGTTTCCACATGAGGTACATTTTACTGTAAATGAATGAGTTTTTATTTAACAGTAGTATATGTGAAATTTACTTCCATTTGTGCGTTGTTAAACATTTCTTACTTCCCAAATCTTTTTTCTTTAACGGTGTCATCCATTTGTCTTTACTGATTTAAAATCTGATATTGCAAGCCTGAAACATTTAGTTAATGTGATTAGCTTAAGGGTACATCCACCTCCTTATGTTGTCCTAAATGTTCTTATTGTTGCTTGCATCTTGGGTTGAATAAAGAGTTTTGCATACTGTGGAAAAATTCACTAAACATATTAAAGTGGAAATATCAACGTGTGGGTTCAATCAGAAGAAATAACCATATCTAGATTTACATGTTCAAGGAAAATTTTTGGCATATCTAGTTGAGAAACACTTACAATGTTTTATATGCAGACTTTGTACATCTAATGGTTGAGTTATAAATCATTTTTTTCATCAGATTTCCCCCTAGTGATACCAATATGGTGTTACGAGAGTTTGAAAAATGTGGTGTCATATCAAAGCATGTACATGGACCAAGCAATGCTAATTGGATACACATTTTGTATCAGGTAATTGTTTTGTGCTCATTTTATATCTTTGAACTTGCTGAAGATAATAAGTCTCTTTGATCTAATTCCCCACTGTGGAGAGCAATTGGCTATTCATTATACGTTCTGCAAACTGCTGCATGGTTGATCATTCCAATGTTCTTGTTACTCTGAGTTTCATTCCTTCAATTTAGTCTTGTTTTCATTTTAATGACAATTATAGATTTTTTTATTGTAGCAGCACAAGAGATAAATGATGTTTGTTCATGTCCAGTGTTTATTGATATATTGGTCATCATGAGATTGGCAAAGTTGTTATCAAGTTTGCATGTCAAAGAGTTGTCTATCATCACATGGTAGTCTGTCCCTTGTCCTTATGTTGTCCTCATGCACTGAACCCACATTTAACCTGAATCAGAGACTGCAACCAGACAACCATTTGCAATTGTCTTTTTTGTGTAGTATAATTGTCGAAAGTCATCTATTCCAGAATAATTTTGATTTGTTTGTCGCCTACTTTCTCTGGAGAAGCTTACACCCGTTCTGAATGTGTCTTAACATGCTCTTTCACTTTGCAGAATCCCTCTGAAGCTCAAATGGCTCTTAAGAAAAATGGTATGCAGCTAAACAGTCTGTTGATAATTGCGGTGAAGCGTATAGATCCAATGCATCGTCATCATCTGGATGAAACATCTGACAGACTCAATCGCGGAAGCTTCATGGTTTCATTACCCTCCAAGTCAACTACTTTAAATAGCTCATCGACTGCTACTCCATCAACAGTCCTCACTCGCGCCCATCATCAACAGTCTATTGCGACTCCAGCAACATCAGCTTTGTCTAAAGTCATGGACTTGATATTTGGCATTTGAATCGGAGTTGCACCAATATTTTTATACATGGATTACAAGTCTCTCTTTAGGTTCTTTTTGCTCTGTTGTTAACATTCTTTCAGTATTTTCAGCGTATGTTGTAGAAGGATCGGTTCACAAGCTGAGGTACTTCTCTCTCTGTATATATGTAAATATATAAACCGATGCCTAAAGTATATCTCGTGAGGGCAAGGCGGTGGCCTTTGTCCTTTTTTTGCCCCCTTCATTGATCAGTCCATGTTCTTCCTGCTTCATCCCTTCTTGCATGTTGGTTTATTTTTTTGCTAGACTTCAACGAACATGGTCGCTCTTTTCGTCTGCTTGTAGAGACCAAATGAGCTGATAAAACCCAACTATATCTCTCGTGCATTCACATGAATGTTGTTAGCACTTAAAAAGAAGCAGTATTGGACACATCTGACTTCTATATGAATATACTGTCACGGACCTGAATGAAGGTAATACCAGCAAAGTTTAATTATTTGATGGATGAAGTAGCGGTCCTCTAAAGGCCATCTGGAGAGATGCTAAAACAATTTGCTTGTTCCGTTCATGCTTGTGCTTAGTGCTCGTCTATGTATCGTAAAAGATCGTCGTACGTTCCAGTGTACAATACTCGTACTTATCTCAAAAAATCAAAGCATCCACCGTTGAGTTTGAAAAGGCACGCATCTCAATGCAAGATGGCTTCCCGTTGAGACGACGTACGTTGGCTGATCAGATGCGTTGGATCTCATATCCGACGGTGATAACTACTCAGCGCATACATACATCATTTCCAGTATTAGGGATCCTCTCCAACTCTTGTGCTGTTCGGGCTTGGATCAGGCAATTTATCGAGGGGACCCACATCGACTAGCGGCTATGATTTAGAGCTATTTAGCGCTTAGGCGGTGCAGTAAGGGGCGGTTGGAGAAAATCCAGACGGCTGACGGAGCCCGCCCCTTGTCGCAATCACGGGTCGGGCACCCGCCACACCCGGTTCTCTCGCCACGTGCCCCTTTGTACCAGACCTCGGTGTTCTCAGCGATGTCGCTTCCTCGCTTCGCTACCCCGCCATCTTTCCTCTGCTGGTGAACTTAGGAGGAGGAGGAAGAAGAGAGGTAGAGAGGTAGGTGGAGATGGATGTGACAGGGGCGGTGAGGAAGTCGGCGGCGGCGGAGGTGGGGATACAAATGCCGGAGGCGGCGAAGGCGTCGGCAGTGGCCGCCGACTCCGGGACAATGAGCGGGCCCCTGGTGCCTGTGACAGGGGGAAAAGACCACCGGGCGGCCGCCGCGATGGGGTGGGACACGGTGGCGGTGGGCGTACGGCTGGCCACGGTCTTGTCGTCGCTGCTGTCACTTAGCATAATGGTGACGGCGGAGCAGCGCGGGAGCCTCTCGGTCTTCGGCATCCAAATCCCGCTCTACTCCAAGTGGTCCTTCTCCGACTCTTTCGAGTAAGCCCTCCGAACCAGTCCCTAAGCTTACTGTAAAGGGACATAGGAGCTAAGTGAGGAGATGGTTGCCATCGTTTGCAGGTATTTGGTGGGGATCTTGGCGGCAGTGGCGGCGCATTCGCTGCTGCAGCTTCTGTTGAGCTTGAGGAAGCTGGCGCAGGGGTTGCCTGTGATCCCCTCCCACAGCCATGCGTGGATCATTTTCGCAGGTGATCAGGTACTCTATGAATCCCATCACTTCCTCTTTTCCTCGTTGTCTGCACTCGTCTCTTCTGTTTTGTCTAAAGTTAGCTTTAAATTCTCAGTGGCTTTTATCAAGCTTTTCTTCTGATCCTTTTATTTATGAGTAATTTTATTATGAATTCAATGATGCTTTGTTGCATTTTTATAAATTCAAAGACCAGTCAGGGATTTGGTTTTTCAGAGTTCAAATTCCAGAAAATAAAATTTGAAGAAGACTGTCTTGTTTTATGACCGAGGGAAATGTTGTGCCTTTATTATTCACTGAGTGGAGTGGTTGATGGATGGTCAAATTATTCTTCTATGACAAAAGAGATAGTATCAAAGTAAACTCTTTGGGTTGATAGTACTTTCACACATCAGAGATAATTAAAATCAATTTGTATCTATCATTTTGTAGTTGAAGAATTTGTTTAATGCTGAGAAACTACAATAATATATTTAGATGGAGGAGCAACATGAAAATTAAAGATAAGTTTATCATTAAGGGTCTATGGAACTTGGGTTTGGTTTTCTTCCAATTTTAGTTTCATGCTTCCTGTAGGTTTGGTATCCAAGTGTTAGCCGACTTAATTAGTCAGAGAATTTCATATTACTACCATGCATGTATCTAAAGCTTTCACTATAAGGATGCTATTTTGCTATTCTTTTGTTTTATTCAAGCATGTTTGATGTTTATATTGACACAAGATTGACCAGCAATACCTGGTGCTTGTTCTTGGTGCTGTGTTAAAAAGACTCATCCTCCTCTGCTTAGTCCAAATACAAAGTTGAATAAGGACAGTGAATTTCTTTATTTTTTTGGGGGTTCAATTAAATCAAGTTTCTGTGGAATGCATGTAATCCTTCTTTGTGTTGTGTAGATATGTTCTGTGAAACCTAATGATATTTAAAAATCTTGAACTAATATACCTTAATGTGTGCAATGTCATACTTACGTCAAAAAAACATACATGCCATGTAAAATTCCGCATGTATGGTTGCTGGTTTTTCTTGATCATATATCTTGATCTAGAGACTACATCATATGTTGTGTGGTCAAGTTATTATTATTTTACACATTTGTTGATCAACATAATAAAGTGAGTTATGAAGCACGTCACAAGCTCAGCAGAGCAATTCTTTTGCTCCACAGAGCAATTCTTTTGCTCCATTTCGTTTGTAAAGATAGGTTAGTGATATGAAATTGTAAGCTTTTAGGAAAATTATTTTTTGAATTTGGTCATAACTCTAATGGTGCCGCTCCAATGAATTTTAGTATGTAAATTGACTTTGGCAAGCATGTTTAAGCTTGCCGACCACACCGTGCCAGTGGACCAGTCACAAAGCACGCCACTGCTAAAACCCTATACGAAATGGTTTTCCGTCAATTCATTGTTCGATAAGACCTATGCTTGTTTTACTTATTTTCGATGGAAATGCATCTTAGCTGCACATTATATGCATTTTCTTTCTTGATATATCATCGTCGTCAACGACAAACTTGCCATACAACATGACACCGATCATTAATCGTAAACGGCTAGTGTTTGCGTACAACTAGATACGAGCATATGCTTAGGAGACCTCCGAATGCGGTAGTTAGAAAAGACGAAACGATTAATGTTAGTGGTACGAGAAGAGATAGACGAAGACATAAAAAAAATTTAATAGAAATTATAAATAAAAATTTAAGTATTCTGAATTTAACTAAACATATGACTTTTTACATATTCGAATGACAGCAAACAATCTATGTAACTAAGCATAAAAAGTTGGGACTTACGGTTTTATTGTTGTCGTTAACAGGTGTTTGCATATGCGATGATGAGCGCGGGTTCTGCTGCCACCGGAGTGACCAATCTGAACCGCACAGGGATCCGGCATGCACTGATTCCTGACTTCTGTAAGCCCTTGCATAGCTTCTGCAACCACATGGCCATCTCCATAAGCTTAGCTTTCCTCAGCTGCCTCTTTCTAGCTATCTCTGCTGTATTAGATGTACTGTGGTTGTCCAAGTATTGATGTGTTATAAGAACCAACAACATCTTCTTCTACTTGTGCACTTGTTTCAGAATGAATAAAACTACACGTGTGAAATGCTCATGGATTTATTGTACGACGTATAATGTTCTGTACAGAAACTACGTCCGGTGAGCGAACAAGTGAAGAGATATTAGGAAAACTTAAGTGGTTGCGAAGAGTAATGGCAGAATTGGTTGTCACCCGTCCAATCAAGGTTTGGACGGTCGGGATTAGATATCCGAATCAGATGAAGGGTTAAGATGAAGGAGAAGGCGTATATAATAACGGAAATGGATACATCCTAACAAACTTGCGCTTGTATTGGTCTCCGTCTTCCTCCCTTCTACCTCGCCGTTCCCCTTTCGAGTTTTGCAGCTCTGCGCTCATCGGCTATACACCGCATCAATTCGTCCTCTCTTCTTCCTATTCGTCGGCTCTGCCATCGGTAGCCGACCCCCCGTCTCCTCAACTGCATCCTACTTGCCAAACGGCCCGATCGATCGATGAGCTTGGAGGGCTGTGATGGGTTTCGGATGAGGCGACGGCGAGCGAAGGAGGTGGGGATTTTAGGTATTGACTGGCCTCTTCAGGCATCCGAGGAGATGGAAGAAACGGTGATCTGACCAGATGGTGGAGGTGAGAGTTGGGTTCGATCCTTATAGCCTTTTGTAGCATTCTCCTTGGATTGTCGATTGCTCTCGCCACATGAATTTGATCTATGAACTATTTGACCTATGCAGGCGTTTTCAGACGAGGAAACTCATTGTTTAGTTGTCATTCAATATCTGCTATGTGACGAGCTGAAACTATCAGTAAATAATTCTAGTATGTGGCACTGTGCAGTACTTGCAGGTCATCGTGGTCACAGTGAATCAAGAAATGTTTGTTGAATGAAAATGGCGTCTCGAAACTAAATGCTACTTTTTGTTGCAGAATTGGCTTTCGCTGGACAAATATCAAAGTATGGTGCAACAGAAACCACCAATACACAGCAACTTCCCCTACACAAAACTGTAGGGCCTCAAGGTAATCCAAACCCTCATACAAAATTCTAGGCATAATCCAGTCTGTAGCATAATTAAACAAAAGAGGATGATATTATTGAAGGGCACATATATCATGTTAGATTTGTTATATTATACAACTAACACGCTAGCTGCAAATTGTCAACCAACAGTTCTCTAGCTTTTGTCACAACATCATGGAGGGAAAAAAAAAATAGTTAAGTTACCCTAAGAGACTGCCAGTGAACTGAAGAAGAATGCTTCTAAACGGTGGGTTAACCACTTCAACCTCTAGATACCTGTTTATATCCAGAAGAATGATGAAGACAAGATGCTCACCACCTTTTCTCTTGGCTCATGGAATCAATATCAGACTGTTGATCATACAACCCCTTCTAATGTCCCAAACTCCATTGAACAGCATTAGACCAATTCCTTATCTCACATCTTTCACAGTTCAACTCCACCAGACAGCTTGAGAAACAGTTTTATATTTCAAAAGGCAGGACCGGGAATATTTGCATAATCAAGGCTGGAAATATAGACAATAAGTGCTCCTCGCGGAACCAATTGTGCACTGATTTTCCCACAGTGGGCCAACAAGCTACAGCTTTTTGGGCAAGTTGTAAGTTTTCTTTAGGAATTTTGTTGCTGCATCATCATTCCTATGGCATAAAACATGTAGAACTGTGTTGGGCTCGGTCGGGCTCCAGTGCCCTGGATTTGGAGGTAATGGATATTTGGATTTGGCTGCAGAATCATTTGTCTCTACAACCATCTGTTTGAACCGTTCGATGAGGGTCTCTGTGTCGGTGCGAAATAGGGGTAGCACATTGTTCACTTCTCTTGCAGCCTTCTCGACCAACTCTTCAGGCAACCCATCTCCGTCAGCCAAGTATAAATCTTTAAGAGATTTGAAATCATCCTCTATAATATGAGAATCTTGGCGAGAGAAACCACGTGATGGGCCACCAGCAAGAAGCACAAGCAAGAACCCATCAAACGAAGCTTTCATTAGTGCAGTTATCACTCGGTATCGTACTCTGTTGTGCACTGTGCTTGATACCATCTCCAAAGTAGGGTCGAGTTCTTTTAGAAAAGGATGTATTCTTGAAGCAGCAGTCTCACCAACGAATAAAGCATCCCATAAAATGTGACTCAGGTCATGAAAGACTACCTTGTAGGCTATCGTCTCACAAACTTGCAGAATTCCTTCTTGACAAGCAGCCAAAGAAAGCTCAAAACTGGTCCGCATACCATTTAATACATCTGCTTGAGCTGATTCGGTATTCCTTAAACAGGTCTTTATTTTCTTCTCCAAGTTCTCCAACTCTTTGCGGATATGATAAAGTGAATTGATGCGTACACACAGCTGTGACAAACTCAAAGAACCATCTCCGTTTGTCGACCCAACTTGTGATCTCCTTTTTGTTAAGTTTTGTGACTTATCCTTTTTCTTCCATAATTTAGAACCAACTTCACATCTAGTTAATGCGGGCAATGTAGGCATAAAATTGTTCCGGCTACCTGAAAATGAAGATTTATTAGTTGTAGAATTAACAATCCAGCACATAAACTGATGAAACCTACCACATCCTGCTTTTGCCTTAGATGCATAATGTTGCAGATTCCGATCAAGTCCTATTAGCAAGTCAGGAAGCAAGGCAGGGTGCATGGGTATGGGCAGTCGGAAGTAAGCATCTAAAGTCTCGTCAATTATCCGTAGCACCTCTACTGAAGAAGGAGCATAACTTTCCTTGGTTGCCCTTGGGATCCAAACCTAGTGAAATTAATAACATATTATTACTGGTGATCAGATACAGAAAAGTTGTACTCATGTAACAGGATCACAGTTTCTTTGGAATGACTGGAAAATGAAAGCACCTTATAACCACAATGTCATGTCAACATCTGTCTGCGACAGAGATTCATCAGGCAACAGAAGGTAAATCCAATTTTAATCAGATTATGCAACCATAACGATTAAGCATAGTATGCAAAACACATAAATCTGATGCAGAGTAATCTCATTTTAGTAACAACCTTGGACCCTTGGATATGGAGGGAAGTCTAGCATGCCTATAGGAACACTAGCGACATGGGTAACAATATTTAAAAGTAGTGTTCATTGATAGAAGCATGGCAAAGATGGACCCAATACAAGGTTTTAGAGATACCATCTAATGGTAGCCAAGTAATATCAAGATATAAAGAACATATGATCCAGCAATAGTTTGTAAGGGTAAGAGAATAATAGTGATCTTAATATCAGATCTATAATGTTAGATTGACAATTTTATCTTTTTAACACATCAGAAGATAATTGCAAATGGCAAAAACCAATCAATTAACATGGTCAGATTAGCTGATGTATCATGATGAGTACAAGAAAATTTAAGCAACTAACACGAATGTCTATAGTTCAAATCGATAATTTAAATGGTTGAATCAAGCAAAAGAAAAGTCAGAAAAGATACAAGTTCACATACAACTAGGCCTTTAGTGCATGTATAAAACTAAGAAGAAAAGTGATGTAAAAGAATCAAACCTCTTGCTGCAAGTTCCGGTCAACCCACTCCTTTAGCCTGTCCGCCCTAGTTCTTATCCATGCTCTTACAAGATTGGCAATGGCGGATTCAGCTTCGTAAGGTGGCATTTCTCTGATTAATGACTTACCCCCATCATCACTATCTACAGAATCTTCAACAGCAATGTTGACAAGTTGTTTCTCTAACTTGTCAGCAGCTCTAAGAACTTGTACCACATCTGGTGTTAGCTCTGTGACACTAGATATAAATTGCTTTAGTTCATTTCCATAACAAGAATGAAGAGTTGCAACAGCAACGCCAGCAGCAAGTGGATGCCATTTCTTCAATATTGGACTAAACATTTCTTGCTCTTTGCTTGCCAAATTGCCAATTTCCTGTGCAAGAATGCAAAGAACTGGAGTACTTTGTTTTCTTGATGGTCTCCTGCTTGACGCTATATGTTCCATTTTCTGCATCAATGCAACCACTGGTTCAGATGTTACATTGAGTTTGACAGCTGAGATGTGAGTAATCAGCAAAATGGAAGAACCAATTAGATTTGCAAAATAGTATTAACTTTGAAAAGAAATTAACCAAATCAGAAAAATGGTATCAGTGTTTCAAAGAAAAGTATTTGGAAGGTAAATGGGAAAAGGTATAAGCAGGCTCATTAGTTCAATCTGACATTTCAAAGAACCTACCTGAGCAAAAGCAGTGCGAAGTGATGATCGAATATAGGCATCAATTCTGCTACAAGCTACATCAGTTTCTTCTTTCCTCCTACGGCGATATCCATTAGAAATATCTTCAACTGGTATCTTTGCACCTGTGACTCCCAATGAGACAATGATTTGCATTGACTCGATGTTACTAGAGCTGAACATATCATGGTAAGCAAGAAGTCTTTTCTCTGTCCAACTCATTATAGAGCTCAATATTGACTTCAAATATTTTGAATAGGTTGGGTCTTGTGTTGCTTTTGCATCCTTTGCAACTTCAGTTAATTGTTTATCAGCTGCAATTAGCAGATCAGTTTCAACTTGTCCAGTAGTGACAAATCTGTGAAACAAAATCCAAGCAAAGCAGAGGTTATGAAACATCTCATTTATTCCTAGGAAGACCCATGTTTTCTTTATCAACTCTAAAACCTCATCAATTTCATCGATTATTGATGCTTCCTCACTACTGTTGTTAAAACAAGCTTCTAATAGCATTTGGTACAGATAGAGATTAAGCGGAAAACCATCTGCCCAGTGGCATGTATCTGAACCAAATCCGTTAAAAGATCTGTAGGCAAGTGACATCGCAGCATTTCGTAGAACCTGCATTGCTTCTGAATTTTTCCCGGTCTCAATAGGTGTCTTTGAAGCTTCATGCAAAATTTGTCGAAGCTTTTGTGATGCAGCATCTGACTTGCCTAACGGAAGATAAGGATGGCGGAGTAGTCCAGCATCAAGAACCTTCAAATTTCTAGTTTGCCAGCGTATATATTCTTGTTGATCAGGAAAATCTGAAGATTTGAACTGCTGCAGCAACTCTAGCGGCAGAACCATAGACTCCATACGCTTCCCAAGCTGTTAGCAGGGATGAAGGGAGAAAAGATCAAAACGTTATCTTCAACTGGACAACGTAAAAAGCAATCTAAAGCATCTTTCTTTTGTAACAGTCAAAACAATAGAAATAACATTATCTAATCAAGACATATGACATTTCATTAGAGCAAAAGAACTAAAGAATTTAAGGCTTTGTTTTCCTCTTTGATTTTATAGAAGAATCAGAATCAATCTGTGGTTATATAATTTGGATGTAAAAGAAGACAAATTTCATCACAGAAATTGTGTTGAATTAGCAACAGAAGGGACTATCATACCTTCGAAGCAAGCCTACAATTGGAAGCAGAAGTTTCTCATAATTGAACAAATATATGTAGGATAACTGTAAGATATAGGTCATGACTATCTCCTATTGATCGCATTGACATTTGAATGTCCGGGATGCATAACTCTGATGAATCAAATTCTTGCAAGCAGACATAATTGACTGAATGACAACCATTTGTAGAATCTTTTGTGCAAATACATAGAACTAAAGCCCAAAAATCAATGTCATAGAGTTTGGTGCGGGGTGAACTCAGTCGGTTATCAAGAAACTGACAGAACATACAGGTCCTACATATTCACAAAGAAACAAAGGAAACTTAATTACCAAAAGAGATATGGAACACTTTCCTAAATTCAATCATCAGCCATATAACCTCAATACGATCCCCAACAATTAGACCGAAAAATAGCTTTTCCAACATTGGGATTAGTCTGTGAAGCACCCAATTTTTTTTACTTTCATCTTGAACGAAAGAAGGTCAGCGACTCCAGCCCAAACAAGTACAAACCATATAGTAAGGGCTTGAACTCAAGAGTATAACTTCAACTGCTGTCAAGGATTTTTGCTCAACACGTTCTTCTTGAGTCCTTAATGTTAATAGTTGATCATCGGTGAGCCAGAGAACACACATGCAACCCATCACCGATAGAAGAGCGAATGCTTTTCATTAGAGTCGGTGGTCACAGACAACTCAACCAACATCTTTATTGCGATGAGGAATCCTAATTTGATAACGACACTTCACTAACCCGAAGAGATATCTGCAATTTTATCTGCAAAAGACCAGCCGGACACGAAAAACCTTTCTCTGTAGAAGTCCCTTTGCCATAAGCGATTAATCGTGACCGTAAAAGATGGACAATATCAAACTACAGTTGAGCTAGTATGTGTTTGATGATGAGCGTGCTACCAAATTGATGTCCCACTGAATCATATAGAAAGAAGGTCAATCGAACAGTGGGCATTCTAGAGGATTCAATAGCCCTAACAAGAAATTATAGTTTACGGATCAAAGAGCGTTTTATATGCGGAAGAACCAAATCAAGAATCGTGGAATCGAGGACTCACATTTGCGGCTGCAATTCGCAGCAAACCCCTTCGGATCCGCGCGTCCAGTTGCTCGGATATCCCCATCTGCACCCTCATCAGCTCGCCAGCCGACACCGGCTTCTTGGAGGACGCATTCCCGGGGATGCCCTTATTCGACGGGGACCTGATCCCGAGGGCCTTCTTCATCTTGCTGGCCGCCGCGGAGGTCAGCGACCGCTGTAGCGACGGCGGGAGGGACGTCGACCGTTCGATGGTGCGCTCGGACTGGGGGGTGTAGGTGAGGGGCTTGCTGCCGGTGGCGCGGCAGGCTGCGACGAAGATCTCGTAGGCGCTCTCCCGGAGCTCCGCGTCCGAGAGCGCGACGCCCAGCTGCCCCAAGGGGGATGGGAGATCGGCGACGGCGGCGGTCATGGCGGCGGATATCCATCCGTTGGACTCCTTCTTGGAGTCCCCCATGGATCCTCTCCCTCTCTCTCCCTCTCTCTCAAGAGCCAAGCCATTACCCCCGCGACGAGCGCTCCTATATATAGATATTATTTATTGTCTTTATTTATATTTATTTCAAAGAGGAAATAAAAATGTTTGCTTCTTCCTCCTCCTTATTTGTTTTTGGGTTGAGGTTGGATTTTTCTCTTTTTGGTATTATATTATATTATATTATATATATATATATATATATATATTAAAGCGGTGAGGAGAAGTGGAATAAGAGGAAGAATGCAGAGAGAGAGAGAGAGAGAGGTTAAGTAGTGGAATGAGGGCAAAAGAAGGTTTGGGTTTTCATGGGGGAATTGATGACAGTTTGACAATGGAAGAAAAGTATCTGTGCTTTTTATGTTCTCTTTTCCACCTTTTACTGTTGGATTTTTTTTTTCTTTTTATCTAACAATGGGATTAATGGTTCAATCTGTTTTAATTATAGGTGTTAATTTCACTCTAATGTTCAAAGAATCTATTAAGGAAGGGAAAGCTCATCAAGGAAAAGATAAGGTAATTTAAGTCAGCCATTGAAGGGGAGGATTAGAGGACACAATGGAAGTCATTATCTATGGACAATGGAAGGTATAGCCGCTTGAAGTCATTATCTGTAAGACAAATCAGTCTCACCTGTCAACCAATTCTTTAGGGTTTGACATGCACTACACCTGGTGGATGCCAGTGCTTTGTTCACTTGAAAAGATGAGAACCAATAAATAATATGATCAAATTTACTTTCATGTTTGGATTAATCTACAAGACTGGAGGATTTGTAATTATGATATAATGTAAGACTTGAGTTATAATATGATTGTCTATTCAATTAGGATAATCAAGATTTGAGTTAGAAAATAATATATATATTTTTTCTAAGATTTATTTTTATTTTTGAAGTGAAATTATGTGATTTAAGATGTTGGAATTGTTGGCATGAACTTGCAAGCCTAAAGGAGGGACATATCTCCTGTGATGATGATTCTGAGGCTGGACTCCACCCAAAGGAAAAGTGACATTTTTAGTGATTTGAACTCATCATCCTTATCCACTCATCACTAAATAATGCTCACAGCTGTGCATTGACGCCAACCCAATTTACTGTAAGGGAGCTAATGGATGGCTATGAAAAGGTCATGTTGTCGAGAATTCAAGAGTCGAAGATAGAAAGAAAGGGCTAAAGATGTGTGATGGGATGGATCCAATAATGTGTTTGTGCAGCGTAGGACAGAGTCTTACAGCACGGATGTCGCATGGCATGTGGCAATGTCTGCATGGATGTCCTTGTCATGACAGTTAATATTGCCTCTCTAATCACCTGGATTAAGTTTATCCTTTTGATCCATGAACAAAAGTCAAATAAGCAGTGATCCATGAACAAAAGTCAAATGTAAAGAAGGTGGACTTACTGTAACCTTGTTTAGCAATAACCATTGCCCTTTTTCTGTAACTAAGACAGACAAATGAACAGTTTCAAGATCATCAGCTTCTTCCTTTAAAGACCGTAAACCTAATCCTTCGAAGATTGTCGAGTGGTTTCATTACTTCCATTTTCTCAGAACTATAAAGATTTCCAAATTAGTATAAGAAATCTAATGGTTTTAGAAGATGGTTTATTAAGATTAGAGATAATGATAACAAGAGTTTTGAGTTTAGTATTTAGGATTTTAAGGTTTTAGGTCATCTGTAGCAATTCAATAGCGTGAAAGACAGCTCGATGTCCGGAGTTTTAATTCATTATTGAATGCTTGCTTGAAGTGGCGATATATGCGGAGTTACTCATCACTGTGCACTCCACAGTCCTTTGTCAGTGCCATGAATTGAAAGTACTCATCCTTCACCAGCGTTATGCATGTATATGGATTAAATCTACTTCCAATCTAGACCTAAAAAAGGAAGTAATCTTCTGATCGATTCTATGGTGCAAAGCAGAGTTTGTGATGAATCAATGAACTTTCACCTCTTGGGTTAACGTTTCTTCTTCCTCATTGATGAGTGCAAGTTTTCTTTCAGATGGGAAACATTAATTTTGCTGTATCCACAGAAATTTCTATTTCTACACTGCTGTTTTACTATCCATACATTACTGTCTCCTCGCATGTGCAGCCTTTTAATATGCAGCAGCTCAAACCAACACAGTGGGGAAGAGGAAGTCTCTTGTCTGCCATGGCGTGTGATGCCGTCAAGACGAAGGTCGAGGTAGAGGAGACGGTTGTCGACGATCCGGTGAGCCCGACCGGCCAATACTTCAATAGTTCTGTGCTGTCGATAGGTATTCTCGCAATCTTCGAGTCGGATGTCGCCATTGACGATTCCCCAACGATGTCGACGCTGGAGAACCTCTTCTTGCCCATCCATCCTCGATTCTCCTCCGTCATGGTACATACCCTCTCTCTCTCTCTCTCTTAGTCATGTAATGTTTCAAGCCAGTGTCAAATCGTGCTCTGTTTTTTGCCTCATTCACCTCTTTAGGCTGTTTAGGATCATGATTCAAAAGACGATGATGATTTCTCGTTTGCATGCATCAGACAAGCCAGGATTAGATTATGCATGGGAAGTAACTTGGTATGTCATCTTCCTGCTTCCTATTGCAATGCTTCAAGTGCATGCTTATTAGACCACCAAGCTTAGGCAGTATGCACCTGCAACATCCATGTAGGTGGAAGAACTAGTCAACCAAAGTCAAAACCATGTAGTGCAGATCTGCTCCTTCGCATTAATTGGTCGTCAGAGCACCCTGTTTCAGGAGTGAAGAACTATTCATTCATCAGCTTTATAATGAGAATGTGTTTCTGCAAGATATATTAATGGATTTAATGGATATATGGAATATGAGAATGGCATTAGCTCCACAATGCAATCGAGACACAGTTTGATGAACAGTGTATGCTGAAAACCTCAACCCCGAAGAAGTCTTCATTAATCGTTAGGAGGAGTCGCTACGATCCATGTGTTGTTCTAATTCCAGCCATGCGTCGTTGGCTTCTGTCGCATTTACTCTACTGCGGTCTTTGCGTGGTCAGGTGAAGGACGACCATGGCGTCCGACGATGGAAGAGGGTCGCACTGAAGCTGGAGGACCACGTGAACGTTCCCGTCTTCCCCGCGGGCTTAGAGACCTACGACGACTACATACGTGGTTACATCTCCGACATTGCAGTGGCGGAGTTCTCACAGAGCAGACCGCTCTGGGATCTCCACATCCTCAAGTACCCAACCAAGAGTGCAGCAGGGACCATGGTGTTCCGGATCCACCACGCACTGGGCGATGGCTTCTCCCTGATGAGCGCCCTCTTCTCTTGCTTCCGGAGGGCTGACGACCCTTCTCTGCCCCTCACCTTCCCTTCTTCCCGAGCCACTAAGCCTGTGCAAGGCAGCGGCGCCTGGTGGCGCGCATGGCGGAACGTGCCGCGCGCCCTCTCGGTTTGCATGAACACCGTGCGTGACTTCGGGTGGAGCTTGCTGAAGACTAACTATCTTGCGGATGACTGGACTCCGGTGCGGTCGGAGGAGGCTGGAGTGGAGTTCCGACCGATGGAGATCTCCACTGTCACCTTGTCGCTCGACGAAGTTAGGCACGTCAAGGCGAAGCTTGGAGGGGTAAGCATAGTAGTGAATCCTAGATGAAAGACTGGGGACAGAGTATTCTTCCTCCTCTTTCTCTTCTCTTTTCTTAGCACAGTCACTGAATTAACAACCCCTGCCGCAATTTGTTTGGAGCTCATCCAAAGACGGTGAACGATGTCATCTCCGGTACAATATTCTACGGCACGCAGCTCTACTTCCAAGCCACAGCTCCAGGCTCGAAAGAGGCTCGAGTGACAGCACTGGTGTTGCTCAACACGAGGATGATTGCAAGCTACCAATCTCTAAAGGAGATGGCCGGACCCGACGCCACCAACCCATGGGGCAACCGCTTCGGCTTTCTTCACGTCCCAGTCCCCGTTTCCGGTAATCCAGACGCCTCTGATCCACTCAGCTTCGTTCTCAAGGCAAGGCAGATCATCAAGGCAAAGAAAAGCTCCCTTGCTGTCCACCTCAATGGCAGACTGCTCGAAACTATCCGAAAGCTCAGAGGTGCCGAGGTAGTAGACTATCTAAACTTGCAGAGATATCGTACTGCATGTCGTGAACTTGAGGAGTTTTCTTCTACCTTTGATTTGATTGTAGACTGCTGCTCGATACATACATTCCACCCTGAGAAACACAAGCATGACCATATCAAACCTGTCTGGACCAATGGAGCAGATGATCATAGCAGGTCATCCAATCGGGAGCTTCTACTTCATGACGGTGGGCAGCCCTCAGGTACGTACCAACAAACCCGACAAGTCCTTCGAGCAAGGAAGAGCTTTAGCTGACGCTACTCTGCTGAACTGATGATCTCTATGGCAGAGCCTCACCGTATCGGTGGTCAGCTACATGGGGAAGCTGAAGGTGGCCATGGGCACCGAGAAGGGGTTCATAGATGCCGGACTCCTCGTCTCCTGCATGGAGCAGTCCTTTCGGAGGATCTCCGAGGCTGCTGCCGGCAAGAGAGCTGATCGTGACTCTTAATTAGACTTCGTCGGCCATTCTATTAGGCCGACTTGCGGCGATTACTAGCCTACGTAGAACTGAAAAGCCCACGGAAGTCCTCCGTTCGGGCCCGAGAACGAACACATTAAAGCCCAGGTTGGAATCTAGGGTTTCGTGGGTTCTCTGTTCTCTATTCTCGGTCTATAAAGAGGGTGACGCAGGAGAGACTGCACATCCATGAACGACGGCAGGCGACCTTCTTATGTTCTTAGTTCCTCCTCTCTTTGGTTTGTTCTCATAGTTTTGGTAAATGACATCGTTGAAGCGTATCAACGAAGGCCTGTGATGAGGAATCTGCAACGGTGCAATGATTCGCTTTTGCGTGTAATGATTTGACAAAGCCAAATCGCTACGTTCTTTCTGAGGCCTCTCTCCGTCCCTCCTCAATCCGTCCTTTATTTTTCTCATTTAATGGTGATGTGATTTTTCCTCCTCTATTTTTTGGTGCCATCTCTACACACTCTCGTCATATCTTTT